TTTACAAGGCTGTAAATCTTTATGAAAGCAGACCATCACATCTTTCTTATGCAGAGGGGCAGGTAGGTTCAAACCACCAATCTTTTGGTAAGTAGCCTAATGCCTTAATCACTACACCACCAAATATGTGAGACTTAATAGAGAAAGCAAAGTACAAGAAAGGGTCTTTAGTAAGGGTTCGTGTCTGGAGAGGAGTCTAGAATACTAACTAGATGGCAATTTTGGGGCATGGGGAAAACTGGAAGAAAGGTGACATCGTGGGGGAAAAATCACGTGTGATGGAATGAGGTCACGCTTCCTTCCTTCCTACTTGATTAGATTGGGTTTGGATGCCCTGGGTGACGTGTTTCCTTTGTTGGCTTTATACTAAGTGAAGATAAAAATTTTGCTGAGCCACTAACATTCATATGCTTAATAAGCTAAACCCAGAGACCAAAGAAGAAGAAACTAGTGCTTTCGGAGAAATTATCTTCATTTGGCTGATAAATAGTTAACCTGAGGGTCAACTGAGGTGCTAACTCAACCGGAAAAAAAAATCTTATGAATTAGATTCATTCTTTCCTTTTATAGCTCAAACATAAAGAAAGATGTGAAAGTATAAGCATTATGATCTGACATAGTGACAAATGACTATGATACTGATAATAATAGGTCTTACTTCAAGCACTAGGGACTTTTGCTGATAATCCTATTTCTTTATGGGACCATATGGGGGGGAGAGAACAAGAGATATATAAACACTGAGATATTATGAATTGACTGAAAGGAATGTTGCCAATGTCTCAACACCAGGCTATAATTCTTTTCTTTCCTAATTAGAATCTTTTTAATTTCCTGTTTCCATTCATGATAGAAATAGCCTTATTTTTTCCCCTGTATGTTTAATGACTTAGGAAAATGCTTACTACATAACGTTAAATGAAGAAAAAGAAAACTCATTCAAGGCATACATATACCAAAATTTCATATGTATCATTATTTTTTATATAAGCGTATACTAAGAACTAATTTTGTATGAATTATCTTTCTTTCCAAAGAAAAGATTTGAAAACATATTAATGATTTTTGAAATGAGAAATTGTGAGAAACTATCAATCTGCATTTATTTTTGGGAAAAATTTTTATCTTGAAAACAAACTTCATGTCCACTTCCAAAAAAAAGTATGTTCTATGCTCTATTTAGGAGCTCTGGTGGCATAGTGCCTAAGGCATTTGACTGCTAACCAGAAGGCTGGCGGTTCAAACCCACCAGCCACTCCTCGGAAGGAAGATGGGGCAATCTACTTCCGTAGTGATAGTGCCTCGGAAACCCAAGGAGGGGTCGCTATGAGTCGGGTCCGACTCGATGGCACATAACAACAACAACAACAACATGCTCTATTTATAAACAAAGTAAAATAAATAGGTGGTACATAATTTTAGATGTAGTATTACTCAAAAAATTCTCATGCAATAAATTTATTTTTAACCTACTTATTTAAAAATGTTCCCATGTACATTTTCTGATGAAATCTTTATGCTTAACAGCACTTCAAATAAAAATATATGAATGAGGTCTGTGGGCTCAGAACCATGGTCACGGGGGACATCACGCTCACTTGGCATAACTTAGTACGCACAAATATTATTCTACGTCCAACTTTGGTGAGTAGCAACTGGGGTCTTCAAAGTTTGTAAGCTGCCATCTAACATGCAACCACTGGTCTCTCCTCTTCTAGAGCGAAGAAGAGTGAAGAAAATCAAAAACACATAGAAACAACCAGTGCAAGGGACTCATAGATCATAGCAACCTCAGCATATATGACCTTGAGACCAGAAGAACTAGATAGTGCCTGGCTATCACTGCTAATCATTCAAAAAAGGATCAAAATTGGAGATCCTGGATAGAGTGGGGGAAAATGTGGAACAAAGCCTAAAATCTTAAAATAATAATAATAATAAAAAAGAACAGGCTTACTGATCTGATAGAGATCAGTGAAATCCTAAGACTATAGCCCCTAACCCCAAGACTATAGCTCCTTACCCCAAAACTATAGCCCCTAGTCACTCTTTGGGCCTGGAATTGAACCCACTCCCATAGTTTAACTTTCAGCTAAACAATAGGCAGGGCTACTAGGTAAAGGATTACAATAGGGAGGTGCACTCCTCAGAACAATTAATCAGAAGAGCAGCATTTGCTTCACAGAGAAGGCTCAGAAGTCAGGCATGCATATGAAAGAAAGGCACAGGGAAAAGGTAATCACAGAGAGGAAATGGGAAGATGGGAAGACAGCTGGAGAAGAGAGCTGTTACAATGTAAATATATATATATATATACACACATAAATGTATGTACGTATGTATGTGTATGTATGTTGTTGTTTTTGTTATGTGCCGTCGAGTCGGACCCGACTCATAGCGACCCCTCCTTGGGTTTCCGAGGCAGTATCACTAAGGAAGTAGATTGCCCCGTCTTCCTTCTGAGGAGTGGCTGGTGGGTTTGAACTGCCAGCCTTCTGGTTAGCGGTCAAGTGCTTTAGGCACTACGCTACCAGAGCTCCCATGTGTATGTATATATATGTGTAAAAATGAAGGATACTGCCTTGGAAATCCAATGAGGGGTCACTATGAGTCAGATCTGACTCAATGGCAGTGAATTTGGTTTTCCTGGTTTTATCCCCTATATGTGAAAACTTTTTCTTTTTCTCCTTATTTAATGTGCCGTTTGAGAAAGTTTTCATGACTACACCAAAGGGAAGAGTATTGGCTTTGAATATTTTGTTAAAGATTTTAAAAGTCATGGTCTACATGTATAATGTCCAGAATTTCTGATAAAGAGACACATATCTGTCCATTTTCATCCTCTCATTTAGCTACTCCAACCAAATCATCTGCCATTTCAGAATAACTGACATGAAGAAAGATAGAACAGAGGAGGAGTGGCCTCTTGGCTAGCAAACAACTTACACTTATAGTGCTAACACCCTTTCTTTGTGATTCATCTTCTGGAGGTCAACTCTCTCCAAGAGTCCCTACATTCCTGAATAGTATATTAAAACATTTTTCTCTGTATTTACCCATCTGCATATCCATCTTGGAACTTAGGAAAGATTTCATTACAGGGGATGATATTTAGACTACAACACAGAACATCCAAGTAAACTTAGGTAATTTTTATTTTTAAATATAGATGGGCATACTAACTTGTAGTCATAACAGTGGAAGTATATAAGCATGATTACAATGTGTAAATGTGTAAAAATCTTAAACTATGGAAGTGTTAAAATTGTCATTATTCTATTGATTTACTTTTCCTGAAACATTCAATATGTGTTTAACTCAAACAATAAGATAGTCATCCTAAAATTTAAAATAGTAAGCAGGGCTAAAAAACACATATGGAAAAAACACACACACATAATTAAAATAACAGCTTAAATGATAGTATACATTATAATTTTAAAAAATAGCATTGCCTTGTTATAGTACATGAGTTTGATTCATCATTTTGAATTGTGAATGAAATATAATATTTGAAATTTCTTCTAAGTTATGTCTTATTTTAAAACTGGCTGTAATTTAAAAGGAAAAATCTTCATTTTGAAGTTATTTACATTTTTCCCTCCAGAAAAGTTTCTCAAATATATCTTAGGTTAAAACCAAACTAAAGGAATTGGTCAACCATCTCTTTATATATGGAAAGGAACATTATTTTCATATTATTTCTTTTTAAAAAATAACGTATATATAACACATTTTCAAATTCTAAGAACTTCTTTTTCTCACAGTAAAGAAAACAAATGTTTTTCTTTTCCCTCAGAATTTGGTGCCATTAGAGTAACCAAAGTTTTTATAGTCTCTGTAAGGGGCCCTTAGTTTTGCATTACTACATCTTTTTATGAAGAGTCAACTTTTCCCTTTATCTTACATAATATCAAAAAATTAAACCCCTAGAGAAGCAATTAATATAAATATAATGATAATAGAAAACAGATTTCCAGAGGGAATTCTTAGAGGATATTATAAATTTTCCCTTTAAACTTACATCAATGAAAAGCAGGTTGTAATGACCTAAGAAATGTAAATATTGCCCAAGTGTTGAGCAATTTCCCAAATTTTAGAGACAATTTGGTCTTTAGAATATAGATTGACTGAGTCTACATCAGGCATTTATAATTTGTTTGAATAGCATAAATTTACCCTGTCCTATAATATAGTTACATACTGAACACTTAAAACGTTAACTAGTTGAAATTGACTTTCAAGACCTTCAAAGATTTGATAAGGAAAAGAAGAACACAAAATAGTCACAATTTTTATATCGATAATATGTTTAAATAATAGTATTTTGACAGTGGGTTAAATAAAACAAATTACACTGATATGTGCTTGTTTCTTTTTGTTTTTAAACTTAGCAATTACATAATAACTCATGTTAGATTCCCACTGAGTGGCACTAGTATAAACAACTGAAGATTAAATTATATAACAGTTGTACCTTTCTTACAGTATATGTATTAAATTCAGTTTCTGGAATTAGACTAAGACTTGAAAACGACAAGTGATCATTGGTTAATCTTAAACATTAAAGCCTGAATAAATTCCAGGAAGATTTTTATGGGACATACATCATTTAAGTGGTATTCAATATTAGAAACTAACATAATAAAGATTACTCATGCATGGATAGTTAAAATCATTTAGACACCTATCAGGTTAATATCTTCAGTCTCTAGGTTGTCCTATATATGGCACTAATCAATTTTTTAAAAAATCCCTGCATTGCACTATTCCAACAATAGTTGTAAAGCCTTTTGAGACACTTGAATGGAAGTGTCATACAAATATGTGCCATACAAAATTGATTTAAATATCTGTTAATAGAATTCTACACAATAATAGCTCATATATCATGCCTTTGCTATCCAAAAATTAAAACAAAGTTTAGATTGTGAAGACTTAATGATTTCTGCATTATTATTTAGAAAGACACAAACTGAACTTTAAGTGGGTATTCATACCGTCATAAATCCATCCAGCAAACCTGAATCTGGTTTTGGAGGTGCCTGCAACCGTTCCATTGACCACTTCTCAATGATGGAGGAGACTTGAGTATTTTCTGTATTTAATATTCTGAACCCTGTCATGTTAACACCACTGTATCGGTATGGCTCTACATCAAGAGCAAAGAGGTCCTGAAAGACAAATGTGTTTGTGTTATTATCAACAGAGTATATTCATAGGCGTGTACTATTGAAATACTTATTTCCCTTGGAATAGTTAACACCATTGTGTCTCAAGTGCTGTTAAACATCACAAATCACCAAGGTTCATTAGACCCTCCTCTTGCTTTGCCAATACAACTATATGCTCTGTACATAAATATGTCTATGTACGAAGTATTCTTATTCCACCAAGGTCACAACAGGCTCTTTTACAGCCTACTTTCACCATGCTAACAACAGTTTGCTCTTAACTTCATACATTAACCTTTTACTTTTAACTGACTATAGTTTTTTGTTGTTGTTTTTAATATCCTGGTACCTTGACTAGTTAGTTACTGCTGGGTTTTTTTCTTTTTCTTTTTTTTTTTTCCCCCATTTTGTTTTGTTTTGTTTTTTGGTGGTTGAAAGAAGTAGGATATTAATATGACTTCTAACTAAAGAAGCCTATGAAAAATCTGAGGAAAAATAAGTTAACATGAGTGACCTTTAGGTTTGTAGAGACCTTATAGTTACTGTATCTTATATCCTACTTAACGGTGTCTACAAAATAAAAAGATTTGAGATTTCAGGTGTTCTTTCTAGTCTGTATATAATGGATCTCTGGCTTTTCCTTTTGGTTTTCCCAGAAGATATGAGACCAAAGCTGTGAGGGGAGTGGGATGTCACCATGAGAAGATGCAGTATATGAAAGTTTCACCCTTTTTCAAGCTAGCATTAGCTAATCCTCGGATCTTAAGGACAACATTTATAACCAAGCCAAGATTAATACTGTTGATCTTTGTCACAGCTGAGGCCTGACTCACACAGCTACGCTACTCCTTTGTGCTGTGAAAAAATAGAGAGACATATAAGGTGTTTAATTTTTTTTTTTTTTCTTTTCAAGGTCTACACTCTAGTCAAGGTGATAATGACATATTCAAGGGCTAAACAAATAATGTATGTCAGTATATCTTAAGGGATAAAGAGCAGAAGTAATGAATGCAATAAGAGACAAAACCAAGAAAGAACTTTCAATTCTGATGGTTAGGAACAACTTCACAGAACAGATGGGATGCAAGCTGCATTACTGAATGGCTACACTTTTGACAGGCAAAAAGAAAGAACAGGGACATTCTAAGTGTGAGTAGAATACACATTCTAATAAATTAGAAAACCTAAACATATTCAAAGGCACTCTGGTGGTGCAGTGCCTAAGTCATTTGACCACTAACCACAATGTTGGTAGTTCCAACCTACCAGCCACTCTACACCATAAGATTTACCACCTTGGAAACTCAATGGGGGTCACTATGAGTTGGAACCAACTTCATGGCAGAGGGTTTGGTTTTTTTGTTTTTTTTAAAACCTATTCAGGAGACTGATCTAGATCTGTTTGGCTGTAAAAGAAAATTCATAAAGGAGAATACCAGTAGAAGAAAATGGGAAAATTAGATTAAAATCAAACTGTGAAAGGCCCACAATTGCAGGCTAATAATTTCAAATGTTGCATAGAATAGAATATCATTCTTTTTTCTTATCCACCCCTCAATAAAAAAATAAAAGTCTTTCTAATAAAGATCTTTTTCCAAAATCTTATGATTATGGTCAAACTGGGTTATAACAGCATTGAGATATATTTTGTTGATGAGTGAAGACTCCTATTCCTTCTCAACCTATCTATTGATCATTAAGTTTCTTACACGCTACAAAGCATCATCTGGGAGGAAAAGATGTACAATACAGCAGTCAGTTTTGATATTACCAGTAAATTACCACCGTCCACATGAACCATCTCCATTGAAGGAAAGAATTGCTATCATAGAAAATTATTGTTAATCAACTAAATATGAGTAACTTGATTTGGTAGGCTTTTTCAAGACTCCTTGTCTAAGCAAGGACACAAATAGGGAGATATTTAAGTTAAGAGAAATAGAGGAGTGGTTAGACTAGTGATTGTGGGAATGGAGATGGAGCCCACAGACACTATGAGGAAAAAAATCAGTAGAATATTGTTGATGGTACAGAAAGTATCAGAGACAATGGAAATTTTGAAGGAAATCAGAAGAGGGGTCAATTTACATGATAATGTGTGTATTAGATATATTAAGAAGAACTGATGTATTTGAATTATGATGTTGGTGAGGATCATGGACTGCTAGAATTATGAACAAATCTGTCTTAGAAATATAGCCAGAACTATTTAGAAGCAAGGACAGCAAGATTTCATCTCATGACTTTGGGCACATTATCATGTGAGTCCTTTTAGAAGGACTTGGTAGAGTGTCAGCAAAACAAAAAAAAAAAGAAAAAGAGGAAAACCATCAACGAGATGGACTGACACAATGGCTACAATAATGGGTTCAAACATGGCAATGATTGTGATCATGGCACAAGACTGAGAAGTGTTTTGTTCCATTGTACAAAAGGTCAGTATGGATCAGAACTCACTTGAGGGGCAACTATCACCAGGAACAACAAAATGTATTTAGATATTTTTAATTTTAGATAAGTTAAAATAATCTTAATGACACAAAAATTAGAATTTCAGCTAAGTAGCAATATTAAATCAGGAATATATAGATGGATACCTAGATCTCATTTGAAAAATAACAATAATTCAAGTTCAAAAAATTGGAAAAAAAAAGTATAGAGGCCTAAATTTGGGAAATATTCTCATATTTTGGAGATGGTTGGATTAGATTGGTCAAAGAGATAGAGAAGTATCTCACAAACTAAGGAAAACCAGGATAATGTATTACTAAAAAATTGGAGCTATAAGTAAACAGTTTTGGTGAAAGGGTAAAGTGGAATTTTTGTGCATATTAAGGAAAAGTTGTTTAGTATATAAGTGAAGACAAAAGATAAAGGTAACATTCAATTTGCTAGTGGCAAATTAAAGCATATTGACTTTAAAAATCTAACTAGATATTGGCAAAAATAGGATAGAAACTTTTATCTATTTAAAGATCAGCTTCAATAAACTTGATTTTCACAGGATGAATTGAGCTGAGATAACGACAAAAGAATTTATACTCTACTAAAACATCGATTTCTCAGAAAACTAATTGTAACATCTTTCACTGTGTTATGAAGGACCTCTCTAAACACTATAAAAATCAGACATATAACTATTTTAATTGCTATAAGAAACAATGTGGCATGGTGGCCTAAGGCATTTGACTGCTAACCAGAAGGCTTGTGGTTCAAACTCACAAACCACTCCTCAGAAGGAAGATTACACAATCTACTTCCATAGAGATGTTGTTGCTGTTGTTGTTGTGTGCCATCGAGTCGGACCTGACTCATAACAACCCCTCCTTGAGTTTCCAAGGTGATATCACTATGGAAGTAGATTGTGCAACCTTCTTTTGCCTCAGAAACCCAAGGAGGGATTGCTATGAGTCAAACAGACTCCATGGCAGTGAGTTATGTTAGTTACTTTTATCAGAAGCAATAACATTTCAAAATCATCAGCTTAGCAACAAAAGTCATTAGTTCTTTCTGTTGATAATTCCCTCTTGGTTTTATCAAAATAAAAAAATAACTACAAAGATACCACTTCTTCTCATTCAAAATCCAATATTATGATTAAAAAGTCATAATAATACCATTTAGATCATTAATCTTATCTTTAATAAATTACTTACCAGAGTGGTAAAGATATAATGATAGTATTCTGTCATCATTCCCATAGCTAATGCCTAAAAAAGTAAAGAATACATTAAAATTCATTAATTAGAAGTTTTATATATCATTGTTGTAGGTACTCATTATATGAAATACCTTATAGCAGTAAGACAACTGAGAAAGGAATAGTGGAAAGTAAAGGAAAATCAGCCTATAGTATCCACATAACATTAAAATTGGGTCAAACTAAATCTTTTCTGTGTGGTTAACAGAAAATTAGGAATTTCTGAACCAATACGCTTGATAAAAGGCTATTACTTGGATACTGCAACTATGTATAAGCGTTACATATAAAACAAGGCATTAAATTTGACACAAGACTTGAAATTAGTACTTCTTACTTCAATATATTTTTAATGTCTCCACCACAAGTATCCTGAGGACACCATTTTATTTTGATGAACAGTATTACTCAATTAGAAAAAAATTGCTGCAAAGTACAATGTCAACAGGCATAGTTTTGAAAACTTTAGAGACATTTTCATAGCACTTAATAAAACAAATATAAATCATGACTATTATTTTAAAAGGACAGATAATCAAAGGAATATTTTTTTGTTTCTATTGATAGATCAGTTGCAAATTACTGTGTTTTATTTCATACTACAATTATTATACTTCAATAAGTATATCAGTCTTAAAACAAAGATTTTTGGATTAGAATTTCTGGTGATAAGAAATGCCCATGTCAATCTCTCCTCTGCCAACAGAAAATAATTTTGAAATACTTGTTTATCAACCAACAGTAATTGTTAATAATAAAAAATTGATATAGCTTTTAACTGAATGCAGAACTCTTAGTAATAAACAAGTACTCTCAGATATATCTAATATACTTCCACAAATCACTAACAAACTACTATTAAATAGCTGCCCCAGTAAAACCTTCTCTGTATTCTATGTATAGAAAAGCATCATGCTCAAACATTGGCATTAACCAGTTAGACAGAATAAAAGGTATATTTAAACATCATGGCTGTAAAAAAAGGGATGAAGATCTTGAAAAAGTTTAGAACATACAAAATTTCTAAAAGAAGGGAGAAACATTGGTTAATAGAAGGTGGCATCAAGGGGTTGATTAGAGTAAGGAAATTCAGGAAAAAAAATCACCAGATAGTATTTCTTGGATATACAATATAATAATATATAAAGCCAATGAAGCCCTGATGAAATTTGCTTCTTAAGCAAAATAAAAGGAAATTTCTGTTATTAAATATAAAAGTTACAAGATCATCTTTTTAGAAGGAATTGTTCCTTATGGATTGGAAAGTATGCCATCTCCAAAACATTCAGTGATAGCTCAGTATTATCCTTGTCAATGTTTTCACTTTATCAACATAATAGGAACAGAAATAGAGATAATGATGTTGAAAGAGAGAGTGACTCAGATGTATAATTATACATAACACTTATATAATGCCTACATTACATTAGGCATTATTCTAAGTATATTGCATGTTCTAATCCATTTAAGCCTCAGAAAAACTCTGTGAGGTAGTTCCTATTATTATGGTCATTTAACAGGTATTTTTGTTGTTGTTGCTGTTGTTAGTTGCCTTCAAAAAGATGAATAAATTGCCCAAAGTTAGAAAGTGAGTAAATGTGGACTCTGGTCTCTATTCCTTAGAGTTTGTATATGCCATTTTATAAAATTTATAATTTATATTTATAATTTAGAAACCCATTTTTAAATCTCTGCATTCTAAAATTGTTACTAATTTCCTCCTTGATGATTTGAAAAACTGGACATCTCAGGCCAGCATACATGAAAGAGTGAGTTGGTGAGGGAGGAAGGAACAAGACTGTAGGGGAGGAGTTGCTCATGACATAGGTATTCCACACTGGCCCCTTTTTCCTATGAGAAGAAATCTGCAAGGAATAACTCTGGAGAGTTTGTGGATATCACTGACTTTTGTTTCTGAGTAGAAGAATAAGTTATGAGTTATAATAAATGAATGCAATAGAAATAAATAGCACTTTCTGATTGAGTAGCTATACTATAACTTTACTAAAAAAAAGGGATAGTAGGAATACTCCTGAAAGATCGGTTCATAATTCCCAATGGGATTAAAAAAAAAGAGCTTGTTCTAGAGTTTTATCTTTTAATTATAGCATCATGTCTCATTACTACATTTGAATGAATTGAGTGCATGGCTCACACCAAATTAAAGATAATAAATTAGCTTCTTCTTATATGCAAATAATACAGGAATAGCCCTAATAGAAGAGTGGTTGTGCTATCTCAATATGTTAACCATGAGCAATATAATTCCTGCATCTGATCTGGAGGGTAAACTACTGATAAAGTACACACCTAAGTAACTGTGTATGTTAACTTGTCTACAACTTTGTTAACACTCCATCAGTTAAATGTTAACATTTTATCAGTCAAAGGTTGGGGATTTCTAATACAATTTTTGTTTTAGAAAATTTAACCAGTAGTATTTTTTTCTTAAAAAACAAAATTTAATCTGGAGTATTTTTTTCTAAAAAAGAAAAAATACTTCTTGGAAGTCTAGATTGAGAGAAAGTAAAATAAAAACTTTTAGCTTGGTAGTTATACTTTATGGGATAAAATTTGACATCTGAACCTGTTTAACTGTCTAATGATATTTTATCTTATACATGAGAGGTAGGCAGTTGAATAATCCCAAACCAATGTAAGCCCACTGTACATAAAAGAGCCGGAAAACAAAGACCAAAGACAAGTACAAATGCATCTAAACTCTACCACTTAATAAATGGTGGAGTAGTGCCTAAGGCATTTGACTGCTAACCAGGAAACTGGTGGTTCAAATCCACCAGCCACCCCTTGGAAGGAAGATTGGGCAATCTACTTCAGTAGAGACACTGCCTCAGAAACCCAAGGAGGGGTCTCTGTGAGTTGAAATTGACTTGAGGACAGCGAGTTTGGTTTGGTTTTTGGTAGCCATTTAACTACTAGCTTCAATTTCCTTTTTTGTAAAATATGCATCATCCCAGATTGTTGTTCAGTCTGAAAATGAGTGAAGTAACATTAAGGCATTTTATTACTATGAATTGTTTGGCTTATTTGATTTAGAATGTTCTTTTTTTTTTTTTTTTAAGTAGCAGTGCTTTATCTGGGATAAATATATGTTAAGATCACTAGGTGGAATTTAAATTAATTCCATTTCTGTTATTTTCTTGATCAAGTTATATAAGCTTATTGGGACACAGTTTCTTCATTTGTGAAGTGGAGATAGCCCATACTTTATTTAATTGTTTTGATGATGACATAAGGTCAATGATATAAGATATCTCATAGTAGATGGCAGGTGAATATATTTTTTTAACTCTTTTTTTCCTACTGATTGACTGTAAAGGTTGAGCTGCTCAGCAGTTGACTCTGAAATTCTTTCTCCATTTCAGCACACAACAGAAATATCTACTCCATAAAATATGTTCAAATTAACAAACAGCATTGTAGTTAAATAGCTATTCAGCTAATCTGTTTTGAAAATCATCAATGTTTACATTATATTTCTTTTAAAATAATTAAATTAGACTGAATATTATAAAATTACATCAAGGTGATGCCTCTGATTTTTTGTTTTTTAATGAATTATATAATAATATGACATTGATAGAAAAACCAGATCATACTAATTTATAAATACACAAAGAATTTAAGTAATTTAACGATTACCTGTTTCAAAATGCCCGCTGCCATTTCATGGCTACAGTCAAAGATTACATGGAATTCTTTGCCTCTTTTCATCTCTTTTAGTAAGGGTTTTGCATCTTTTGTATCAGCAGGCAACTGACGGATTTTAAGTCGAAGATTGTATCTTGATGGAGCTTTGATGAGCTCTTGTAAACGAATGAGGCCTTTAATAAAAATGGGAAAAAAGTCATTACTAGAGGAAAAAACAGAAAGCTGTACAACCACAAAACATTAAAGTGCATGATGTTCTTGGCCATGTGCATTTCATGGCACAATCACTGAAATTCTGGTCAAGAACTCTAGATCTTTGTTAAAATATTTTAAATCTCTGTTAAAATCTTTGAAATGTTTGTTAAAATAATACTTTCTGATATTCTTTAGCATATTTTTCAAATCATTAAAGAAATGCATGACTATGAGTTAATGTGAACATTTTAAATATATACAAGGAAATAGAGTAAACTAGTCTCCCTTCATGGGAGTTCTGGTAGCGTAGTGCCTAAGGCACTTGACTGCTAACCAGAAGGCTGGCGGTTCAAACCCACCAGCCACTCCTCGGAAGGAAGAGTGGGCAATCTACTTCCGTAGTGACACTGCCTCGGAAACCCAAAGAGGGATCACTATGAGTTGGGTCCAACTTGATGGCAAATAACAACAACAACAGTCTCCCTTCATATACCAATTCTACTCCACAGTGGTTTAATGGCTTGATATATTATTCTTTTATAATATACTTTATTCATTTACACATACAGTTTTGTTTAATATTTTACATTAATTATTTTTTGATAATGTCTTAGAGATCCTTCTAAGTCATTTATTAGTGCTCTAGTTTGTCCTTAAGAAACACTTCATTTTCTACTAGACATAATTTATGTAACTTCCCTACTGTTAGACATTCTTTTTGCTTTTCTTTTACAAGTAATGCCACCATGAATAACCTGTACACAAAATTTGGTACATGTGCAATTGTGAAATAATTCTCTGTCATAAAATAGATTTTAAGCAGCCTGAACCAAAATTATTTACTTTAAATAACAAAAGTAACTTTTTTTTTTAATATTGGTTTCTAAGTATAATATTAACTTCAGAAATAAATATAAATGCAGACATTAGTAAAGCAAGCATTCTCCTAGAGGAATAGTTCCTGATTATATGTTTCAAAACATATTACATTAATAAGAATATTTTCAATAGGTCAGATAACTACAATGAATTTTTAAATAAAATAAAATAAAAATATATTATTTTCTTTATGCATTCTTCAAGTAATGAAGCCCATTTAAAAACTGATCCTAAAGACTCAGCATCTAAAAGAGTGTGGGGATAAAAAGAGATAGTTCAGTTCTATTCTTGCTTAGCCAAATTAGGGTATTTTCTTTTTTCCAATGCCTAGTTGTCCTACACATCTAACTCTTTTTTTTCCTCTAATTCATGTGTACCTTTCTAACTCTATTTCTATCTTTCCAGAAAATGACTTCTAAGAATATTAGTGTGACAAAGAAAAATATTTACAAATAACTAATCTAGAACTATTTTCCTCTCTTGTCCTCTCTGTTGTTGCTGTTATCTGCTGTCAAGTCAGACCAGACTCATAGCGACCCCCCGTTGGGTTTCCGAGGCAGTATCACTACGGAAGTAGATTGCCCCATCTTCCTTCCACTTGTCCTCTCTATTTCTGTATAATACAAAAATCTATTTGGAAACAGGAAGGAAAATATACAATGTACAACTAAAAATCTACTTTGTATTGAAATAACATGAAACCTTGAGAATAAGGATCTAGAGCTAAGAATATTTTCCTTAAGTTTCATTAGTAAAAAATAAATTATTTCATGCATCAATGTCATATGCACTTTAATATGTCATTATATAATTAATAATGAAATTAACAACTCGACTAATTTTCAATATTTTCATCCTTAACTAAGACATACAATTTTTAAAATATGTTAATTCACACAGATACTTAGCATATGATAGCTCAACATTAAAATTTAATATTAAATATCAAAGTATTAGGCTGCTAACTAAAAAGTAAGCAGTTTGAACTCCCCACATACTCTGCACAAGAAAGATGAGGCAGTCTGCTTCCATAAAGATTTACAGCCTTGGAAACTCTATGGGGCAATTCAACTGTCCTATAGCATCACTATGTGTCTGAATCATCTCTATGGCATTGGGTTTAGTTTTGGTTTTCCTTTCAGTTCAAACTCACCAGCCACTCCTCAGGAGGAAGATTGGGAAATCTATTTCCATAGTGATACCACCTCAGAAACCCAAGGAGGGGTCGCTATGCGTCGGGTCCAATTCCACAGCAAATAACAACATTTCATAATGTCATCCCATAAACTTTATTTTATTTTAGAGTTTTGTAATTATTTTGCACTTATTTTCAAATGCTACAAATACCAGTTGCATAAAATACACAGTATGGACTATTATCCCAGTTTGTGTTATACAAATTTAAATATTTACTAACTACGATAAAATAAATGCTACATTATGAATTGACATTAAATATACCCACTGAACATAATACAATCCAGTCTAAAGAATTAACATATGTATAATGAATACAGGTGTTCACATTGCACTATACAAAGGATGAAAATAAATATTTGGACTTGTAACACCTATTTAATTGCAGTACAGTTTAACATTGGGCCTGCGCCATCTTTCAAAAATGTATAAAAGTGTACATTTGATTGCACATGGGAATGCTCTACAATAACATTAGAATGAATTTTAAAAGGATGATGAAATTCTTTAACTCATTTTTATTATTAAACCAGTATATAGTTGCAGCTGGTGGCATAGTGCCTAAGGCATTTGACTGCTAATCAGAAGGCTGGCAGTTCAAAACCACCAGCCACTCCCTGGAAGGAAGACTGAGCAATCTACTTTTATAGAGATACTGCCTCGGAAACCCAAGGAGGGGTCGCCATGAGTTGGGTTCAACTCTACGGCAATGAGTTTGGTGAGATTTGAAGGCAATGATGCCTAAATACTGGGAGGATGACAATGGAGCTTGTTATAACCTAAACAAGTGATTCAAATCTTCAGGGATTAGTACCAATGCATGCGTAATGTCAACATTTTTCGCAGGTGATTTTCCTGTCATTAAAGTGTGAGGCCAACTTCTAATAACAGGCCTGGTTTCTGTGTCAGATGAGAATCACTCTTTGAAGCACTTTGGCATAGCAGTCATATAGGATAATGAATATGTTACAGTAACCAGTATTACAAGCCATAAGTTAATTAATTCAAGGAATGATTTCCAACCTCATAAGGTGAAATGAGTTGGGAAACCACAAGTACAATAGCCTTTAGGAATTTAAAAAAAAAAAAAATGACAGCATGCATTTGCTCATGAATCAAACAAATGTTTGCTAAATTTTTACTACAAAATGGGGATGATTCTAGATACTAGAGATGCAATGAAAGATAAAGTAGACAAAATTCCTACTGACAAGCTAAAATTACATAGGAAACACAAATTATTAAGTGTGCAATTAAAAATGATGAGTAGCAAAAAATGCTTTCTTGTGGAAAGTTCAGATTGCTAAAGACCCATATGATAAGATCATTTAACTAACAAGTATGGGTTCAGTGAAAGTGTCCCAAATGAGGTAATGTTCATCCAGAACAGAAAGAAAAAGAATGGAAGGGTTAGATGGCAGAAGAAACAGTACATTTACATGGAAGTGAAAGAGCATGGACAAAGAATTTTAAGAAGCAAGGAAGTAGTAACGACAAATGCAATTTGGAGAGTTGGATATGGGGCCTATTAAAAAAGACCTGATAAATTACCTTTACAGGGTTGGAGAATCCAGTTACACCAAATGATAGACATTTATAAGAATGTAAAACGATGGCATTTTTTTCACTAGTATTTGTGTTTTCTAAAAAAGAGATTTTTTAGTAAAAATATGTTCTTTATGTGAATTAATATTTTTTTAAAAATTATTTTTATTATTAAGTGAACAATAAATAACCATTCTTAAAATTTCATTTTAAATTTCTCATTTTATTAGTTAATGTGGTAAATACTGATAAATATAGCATACATGAATCATAAAAAATGCTTTCAGAGAGTTTTCATATTTTTAAGAGTGTAAAGCATTCCTAAAACCAAAAATCTAAGAATTACTAATATATATTATTTCTAAATTTTTCTAAATATTAGCTCTAAATTTCTATCATTCTCATAAAACTATTTAAGTAAAGTTCAGATTGCTCTACTAGCAACCTTAGCTGAATGAAGAAAAGAAAGCTACCCTTGGCATACTTATGTCACAATATTTTGTGAGAGTCAAATATAAATTTAGGGAACTTAGTCTGTCATAGTAGAAATAGTCTTAATGTTAAGTTTGAATCTCAGTTCAGGGATTTTTGATCTTTGTGGCTTTGTGCAATATATTTCATCTCTCTTAACTGTGTTTTCTTCTTTGTAATAGGGTAAAGCCATCTATGTGTTAACATATAAAACACCCCAAAAAAACTCCGTGAAGAAGTGGGAGCAGTATGGTTGTTATATTGGCTAAATGGGAATAATATAATATTTTTAAAAATGTGGTTACTAAATTTGTTCTTGGAAAATATTTAGACAGAAAGACTGACATAATAAAATTATAAAGAACATTTTAAGAGACTAACTTGTTACCAAAAGAAGAGGAAATATATAGATCCCAATAAGCCCAAAAGTTTTGAATTGAAAAAGCTAGACTGATTCAAAAATAGAAATTTTCTGAAGGATAAAATCCACAAATAGTATTTGTAGAGTTCATCCTAAGTATAAATACTGCCAAGTGTTTTCAAGTCTCTTAAGAGCTCATGTGGATAGTCCATTGAGCCATCAGGTACAATAAATGTTTACTTATTCTTTTCACACATAAACATCCCTGCTGGCATTAATGTAACAGATTTCTGTTTGCCAGCTTCCCTGGGGAACGATATTGAAGAGCTAAGTAAAAAAAAAAAAAAAAAAAAACTATTGCTAGTAGGAGCTGCCATCTCCTATATGAGTATGTGAGTGAATTGTTCTCATTCATTCACTCAACAGATATTTACTGCGTGTATACTATGTAAAAGTCACTATTTCATGTGAACATCTTTGGAATCATAGTATTTATTAAGTCTCTAGCTGCAGGAGACATAGTGT